GACCCAGGCCCATCCCCTCTTCATCCTAGGGCATGCAGGAAGGAGGGGATAAGGGAGAAACATGAATGGCGTGGTCTACGGGGGAGGAAAGGGCCTTGATCCCCTTCATGGGCTGCAGCTGTGAGGACTGAATAAGAGTTTGGACCTGCGTACTGGCAAACGCTGGAGAAGAAGCGTGGTTTTGTTTTGTTTTGAGGTTATCTTGGTTGGCGTCCTTCCAACAAGACTCTGCCTTGTTATCTCCTTGAATTTGGTAATTACTTATCCTGGTCCATTGTGGAAACTGTAGTTTGTTTTAGTTTTGTATTTCACCTCTATTTGCTCATTAAGTTCGGACTGTATTGCTTTATTTTGAAGGCTATTTTTGAGTACGTTTTATCTCCAGCTGAGAATTATTGAACAGTGGGGCCAAGTTGGAGGCATTAAAGGACATTTATGTACGCTTTGGATTTTGTTACGTGTGTGTTACACTCTGGGTCATCACACATACTTACTCTGATTTCCCCGTTAGCGGCTTGCCAAATTTTCATGCTGCCATCAGCGCTGGTGGATACTCCAAGCCCACCTCCGTTCGAAATATCAAGACAGGTGATCTACAATTAAGAGAGAACAAGAGAAAAATAAATATTCTCCAAAGAACCAGAAGGCAGGACGAGAAGCAACGGGTGGAAACTCACGAAGGAGGGAAGCAGCCTGGAACTAAGGAGGAATTTAGAACAATTAACCGGTGGAACAACTTGCCTCCAGAAGTTGTAAATGCTCCAACACTGGAAATTTTTAAAAAGATGTTGGATAACCATTTGTCTGAAGTGGTGTAGGGTATCCCGCCTAGGCAGAGGGTTGGACTAGAAGACCTCCAAGGTACTTCCAATTTTGTTATTGTGTTAATTTATTTTAATCTTAGGGGGAGGGAGGTTTTATGGAGATAGGACAGTGTCGCTGAGTCCTGGGAAAGTAGGACGCGTGAGTAAATGACTCAGAACAGTCCTATCTTAACCTCATGGTCCTTAGAAAAACCCAGCGAAGGTCTGGGAGATGCTGTCACAATTTTGTTAATGCACCCTTTATTGCTGGAAGAACAGGAAGTTCTCGACATAACCAAGCCTACTCATTACCGTCCTATATGTCATAATGCTTGTTATATAGGTCAGCCATATGACTGCAGAGATCATGAAGCCAACACACAGTACTAGAGTGAACCATGGTTTTGCTAAAAAAACGATAAGGTTTTTTTTTTTAAAAAAATATCCTGCCTTTATTTCCTTCAATAGTCCTTTCGAACCAGGCAGTAAAAGAATTACATACACTTTTCTGATGGATCCTGCAGAAGGAAGTATAGGGTGCCAGAAATTTACTGCAGGCGTTTTCCCGCGAGCAGGAGACAAGCAAACTTTTCTGAAGCAGATAAAAAAGGAAAATTGATATAAAATTAGATGGACCAAATGCAGATTATCTCAACCGACCTTCCTTCCTTCCTTTTTTTCTCCCTTCTTTCTTTCCTTCCTCCCAGCCTCTCCTTCCTCTCTTCCCTCTCTACCTCTTTCCTCCCCTCCCTCCCTTCCTTTCCTCCCTCCCTCTCCTTCCTTTTCTTCCTTCCTTCCTTCCCTCCCTCCCTCACATAAAGTCTAACGATTTGAGATCCATCCATCAGTAAGCAAGCTAAGCAGCCAGACGTAATGGCTTCTGCAGCATGTGGTCAAAAAAAGACAAGATGGTGTCACATTTTATTATTTATATATATCCTATTCTATTATTTATATATATCCTATTTTATTATTTGTTTTCTTAATTTTTGCTTTATTATTTGCTTTCTTATTTTATTATTTATATATATCCTGCCTGTATTATTTTTATGAATAACTCACATACGCAATATTCCTTCCTGCTCCTGTTTTCCCCACAACAACCCTGTGAGGTGGGTTGGCTTGAGAGGGAGTGGTCCAAAAATCACCCAGCTGGCTTTCATGCCTATGGCAGGACTAGAAATCACTTCTCCTGGGTATTAGCCCATAATCACCCAGCCAATCCACCATCAATCTAGCCCAGTATTTATTTTTCAACCATGACAACTTTAAGCTGTCTGGACTTCATTTTCCACAATTATCCAGCCAGCTATGCTGGCTGGGAAATTCTGGGAGCTGAAATCTACTATGTAGCTTAAAGCTGCCACAGTTTGAGAAATACTAGGTTTTGCATCGAATGATCTGTGGTTCCCAAATGCTTCTACCTTTCCACATGATATGATTTATTTTTTGTTTTTTGAAAAAATATTACAGGACTCTGCTTTTCGACAATACCTTAGTTATTGCGCTGACTTCAAATCCTTCGGAGGCTACAATTTCAGGAATCCCATCTGGGCTCAAACCGTGACAGGTCAGAGTTCCATATAAAGTCGATTTCCCTAAAGGAGAAGAACAAATGGTATTGTCGGAAATGGTGTGGGGGTAGGGCTAGAAGACCTCCAAAGTCCCTGCCAACTCTGTGGTTGTGTTAAGGGACCAAAATGCAGGCAAGAACCAAAGCTTAGCAGGTGCTAAAGCCAACCCGCCTTTGAAAAGAAAGAACAGGAGGGGGGGAAAATGTGAATTTTTCAACATTAGGTCCTAATACATAAAATGTACATTTTAATCAGCAACCTAAAATGATAACGGACTGCAAATCTTCCCAAAACTTGATACAGTGAATTTGGACCATACCATGCAAGCCATAATTCCGTTTTGAGCAGGCCTATTTTAAGACAGAAGGAACTGTGGGAAGGGGGTTACTTTACACTGTAGGAAGTTAGCACCCACCCCTCCCCTAGAAAAATAAAATATTTAAAAGGCAGAATATTTCCCCTAAAAGGGAAGTAGAAACTCAGAGAGGCAGAAGCTCACCCCACCACACACACACCTTGGTTAATGGGTGGGCCATTAAAGCCTGGGCCAGAGTATTCTACATAACAAAGGCCTGTACCTTCTTAAAGGGAAGATTGCATCAGCCAGCACTCAGGTGAAGCCATGCGGTCCAGCTAAGACCCCCGCCTCTGGGAGTCTGACAGCCGATGGGATACATTTCTTACACAGGAACAGGAAACACTAAGCTGGGGCCCAACAGAGAGTATATTAACTAAGGGTCTCTCAGCATCTTGCCCCTCCTTCTTTTCCTTCACCCAACATCTTGAAGCATGGGACCATCCTTTTCATTTTGGAGCTTCATGTGGTCCTGTCCACCATTAAACCATCTTCCCAAACAGCCTCCATGTTTCCAGTGTCTTTTCCCCCCACTTGGAACTGAACCCAGAAGGATAATCCTTCCAACCACACGAGGCGTGTAACGTCTGAGTAGGGATGGAGGAAAAGAAAGAACTGGAACTCCTTGGCAGAATCGCTCGACCACAGGAGAGGTTGGTTTTTCTCACTCACCTGGACTCCTGCAGCTCAGCCAAACCTCCTCCTCATTTCTCCTAGAAAATTGGGGGGGAAAGTATCCATTAGCCCAGAATCAGGCGATATGAGAGACATATAAATTGAATAAATAAAAGCAATAGTTGAAAGGGCAGAGGTGTTGCATCCCGACGACCAAGGACTTCCCTACCTGTAAAGCAGGGGTGTCCAACCTTGGCAACTTTAAGACTTGTGGACTTCAACTCCCAGAATTCCTCAGCCAGCAAAGCTGGCTGAGGAA